AAAAATGCAGTCTTCACCACTCGAAAATTGCACAATAAGGACGATAAGGTCTTGCGTTGGTCGCTGTGACGCTACCATTACTACTCTTCCGCAGCATACGCGGTGTCTGCGCCCTCTCGCACCACGTGCTCTCTCGCATATTCCCTCTCCTCGCCGCGCTGTGTCTCTTTATTGTAATGATCAACTTTAGAAGGAAAGAAGGCCTTCAATCCCAGTGACTTCTAGGACTCCTTTCTTTTCTTCCTCACTGCCCCTCCTTCCGCTTCATTTTTGAACGGAATAGCCACACCAATTGTATCGCGAACCGTGATTTTGAAAAGATATATGTAATTAGTTAAATTTCAGTTGAATCGGCTGACGCATGTCGGCTTTGGTGTCAAGGCGTTCACAATCTAATGCTTGATACTCGCGATCGGTTCATTTCCAGCCATACAGCCCGAATTGAGCGCTTCATTGCCAAGCATTTCTACAACCTGGTCACGCCAGGGACGGAATTGTGAGTCACTTGATATTTTACATACGATTTGTTCCAGTTAGCCGGCATTTCAGTGTGGCGCGGAAACACATGAAGCCGTTTGTACAAACGTCTCTTCAGTACAAGGTTTCCTCAAGGCAGCTGCAGGAGGTCACTGAGGACCAAATGAATTTGCTGCAGTTTTCCCAGGCTACAAGAAATTTCATTCACTCAAATACGGTTGGAAAGTCAAGCTTTTTTTTTACAGCGATACGCTTCTAGGAAGATTTTTCAGCTGTTTGCTTCTCGGTTCTCTGAGCTCTCACCTGACGGGAACATCGTGAACTTTGAGAATTTTGTCAAATTTCTCGAAAACATGCAAAGTGATTCGTTAGGTTCTAATCGCTCACGAGTTGTGAACTTTTTGAGAAGGTGAGTTCCTAGAGCCTCCGATTTTTTGCATTAATTGTTTATTCGTATCACTTTTAACAAATGGTTTTTGGATTCCTGAATGTGGACGACATCCCAACAGAAGACATTCCCGCTGAACCCTCGTTATCGGTGATGGAGGTAGGTCTACTTTCTCTAGCGTTTTGCTTCTTGTAAGGATAGAACATCCCATTAACTCTCCTCAGTACTCACAGCGTAATCGACCAAGGCGTTCTATCGAATTCTCTTTCCTATGAAAGGGCTTTACTATGATTGGGTTAGGAGAATCAACCATTCATGAGCAAGATAAACTGTCTACTAAATAGAGTATGTGCCGTTCTTGCGGATTAAAAGCGCGCGCATCAAATGCGTCAAGGCCCTCTTCTTCCGTTGAGTGCCCTCTGGGCTCCTACTGCAGCACTACAGTCTAGGTGACGGATTCTCTGCTTCTTGCACATTCCTAATGCTTCCTCGTCTGTTCTCTTACCGCGGAACCCACCACCGTCACCCAGCAAAAGAGTCCTAAAAGCATGTTGAGATCGAATTGGTTATTTGTTATTTTGTGTGAAAATAAAACAAGAATTGCGATGACGAACGTTAGTGGGGAGAAAAGGCAAAAAGTTCATTGAAAACACTAAAAATTTCCTTGTGAGGTTGGCCAGTCGGCTTGTCAGGTATGACGGAGGACAAGCGTTGCGAGGAGAGGGAAACGCGAGAGAGCACGTCCTACGAGAGGGTGAAGACGTTATGTATGCCGTGATTGATAAGGATGGCAGCGCTGGCAACGGACAAGACACGGCCTTACCGCCTTTTGCAGTGTGCTTTTGAGTCGAGACAGGGTCACGGCTCTGTGATTGGGAAGCCCTCCTTCCACTCAAGGAGGCAGTGGCTCTTGATACCTGCTCCCCAGGCTGTAACCTACCTAATTCGTACCGAGTTTTTATCCCGAGCATTTTTATCTATTTGTTTTTGCCTGCCTCCGTGGGTGCTTTGACATGTGCTAGGGTCTATAGTGTTGTTAATTTTCAACACACCTCCACCTGAAAGTTACAACCGCGCCGCTCCGTTGCGCAACGAGTTTGCAAAAGTTGTGACTTACTAAAATAAATGATATCAAAATTGCTTTCAGTTCTGTGATTTTTTGTTTTCCCGCGAGAATTCGTTATGGGATTCGATGAACGAGAAAGTTATTCAAGATATGACAAGACCGTTATCGCACTACTGGATCGCCAGCAGTCACAACACGTGAGTCGTTTTGCTCGTGAAACATATGGAGGGTGGGAAAGAGAGGAGTATTTGGTTATTAGAAACTTGAGCGCACGGCGAACAGCGGTAGCAAAAAGTAGTACGAATAGGTTGTAGTCATTCGCAGTCCAGTTACAATTTTTCTCAGGTACCTAACTGGGGACCAACTGCGTTCGGATTCTTCACTGGATTCGTATGCTCAAGCACTATTGATGGGATGTCGATGCATCGAATGTGAGCTTATTTTGTTGAGATCACCACTTCTGTCTCGTTGCC